AAAAAAAAAAAAAAAGAAAAAAAATTACATGATTTCGTACGAACAATACAAACCAATCGTCTTTGAAGATTCAGAAAACACTGTTAATGAATACTCGTAAGTCCTTGGAAATGCGAAAAGGATAGCCAATAGCGAGTTTACCTTCGATTGTAAATTAAAATAGGACACACACCAGGAATGAAGTTTGGGCTTGTCCAGAGATCGATAGGGGGTCGCGATTAGCTAATTGAGACACGAGATACCGGGGTGACTTACAGACGAAGGAAAAATCTGCTGGGCAGTGCCGGCACGGAATTTATATTTTTAGAGGGCACCTGGGTCGGCTGCAGTCGTCTCTGCTCCGTTGAACTGCAGTCCTGCAGTATACCACCGTTACGTAGAGACTTTGCGCATTTGAGTATACGATAAACGTAGCTGACGATATCCTATCACTGCTCACAAGAAATATTATCGGCAGTATCTAAAATACGGTACCGATTTTAAATGCTATTGTGACGAGCGGGCGCGGCGCGCTCTTCTCACCATGGCCGCCGCCATTACACTGAGAACACGGCCATTCCAGGATCGTAATAAGTGAGGGCCCCTATTCATTTTCTTTATCAATCTATGTAGTGTATTGTGTACTAAAAGGAGTTGTATGAATTTATACAAAAAAAATGTATACAATATAAATGAATTTTTTACATTATACGAATGTATACATTTATATAAATGAAACTTAATAACATCAATGATTATGAAAATACAACAGTATTGTTAAATGTATAACTATATATATATCTTTTTAATTTTTGAAATAATATTTCATTTTGTGAACTAAATTGTATAGAAAACTAGTGCCAGAATCTCAATTATATACTACTTTTTTTATTATATTTGCTTTGACAGTCTTAGGTGCAAATTTTTTGACAGTAAAATAACAAATATTGAAATATTAATGAATATTAATATTCATTGATATTTCATTCATTAATATTCATTAATATTTCATCATTAATAATCATACATTATAATATATGATACTAGTATCAATAATATAAGTTATTTAGTAATATTTTAAGAATATATATTTGACAGTACTTATTTATACATAGATAATCTTAAATATTTTTCATGTTATTTTCTTGCGATAAGATATGGAATATATCTAGTGAAATTCATGTGTTTTCTGATGTTATACTAAAATAATTAATTACAGCTATAAACACTTATATAAGTTATAAGTTGATAAGTTTTAAATAAATTAATATAACTAGTAACTATAAGATTTGATTTTAAAAAATCTGTAGATAGTAATCATTGTAATAAGTTTTGAATTAGTACAATGAATTTGATATTATATATGATATATCTATACATATATTATTAATTATTAAATTAATAATTTATAGATAAAACAATATTGGAAATCAAATTTTGAACTTTAATTATATCATTTAAATGAATTTTAAATGATATTTAAAATAAATTTTAATATATATGTATGCTATATATTCTTTTCTAGTAGTACAAATAAATAAAATGACATTATAATGTTACTTATTCCATTAACACACATCTTAAATAATTTCTAAACCCTTGTATTTTTAACTCACCTGCTTATTGTCAGAGGTAACACAAGTCGGTGCACTTTGAGTTGAATCTGAATTAGTATCAGTGTTCGTTGAAGCACATTCTGCATTCGAACTCTGGTTACTAACAGTCTCAACACCTACCACTAAATTCTCAACATTATCTCTTTCATTAGAGGTCTCACTATTGTTATTTTCCGAAGCTTTGTCAGGTGCTACCGGTTCTTGACGATGTTCTGGCCCTGGGGCCATTTTGATCGAAATTGACAGCGTTGTATCCGCTGTACTCATAGTTTCATCATTTTTCTTTGGTGTTCTTAAGGTCTACAGACCTGTTTTATTTGATCACAGACGGCAATTCGAGATTTTTGCATATCGTATCAGTTGAATTTTTTTTTCTTGGTTTTGTTTATTTAATTTATGAAGGCATCACGTCCATGTAAATGAAGGCATTTTGCACTATGCCGATGTCACGTTAGGTTAATCCTAATCGATTTGACCATTCGAAATTCAACACATTTATTAATTAAACTCAAAAACAGTACACGCATAAACAACAATGATTATCTGTGCTTAGATTCAATTGATGATTTTTTTCAATGAACTCGATTTTACGCGCGTACCATGCGCGTTAGGAAAATGACAAAAATGGCACCGTCCACCATCTAATGCCGTGACTGTCGATCAATTGGAAAACTGTTATTTTACAATTTTTCTTTCACTGCTTCCCATATATTTTCAATCAATTCACACAGTATTCTCTGTTCACAATAAATATGAAAAGTATAACTCCTCAGATTAATATCAACGATTTTATCGTTGTTGAGGTTATTTCATCTACTTGTCAGCCTTGACTACAGCTGTCGATTAGCAGAATACAGTATATATTTCGACAAATTGAAACACGTACGATGTTTGCTTATGGTGATTAAATATTTATTTTGCGTTCAAGTCATTTATCAGAGAAACGCAAAAACGGTGGAAAGATCTATTCCTCCACGTCATTTTATTATTGATACGTTCATCTGAAATTACTTGTTACTTTTTCATAAGAAATAAAACGTAAAATATACAAAATTGCCGTAAAACATATAATTTGACCGTTTTTCTTTTATAGCAACTCAATTTTGGACATTTAAATTATTCGATTCATGAATTATAACAGCAGATGTGTATTTTAGAATGTAAAATAGAAAATGAATGGAATGCTTTTTGTAGCATTTAGTAAAATTTCATTTGATATGCAGAAAATAGTAACTATCCTCGAATGACATGTCAAAATAGCTCTTTATGCCTTTACAATTGATTGTATCGAAAGGCGTCAAAGAAGGTCCAATTTTGGAATTACAAATCGTGGTTGTTAATCGTCGTAGTTCGGGGTACTCATAAATTCAAAATGGCCGCTGACTGATATTGAAATGCACATTTCTTTTTCTCACGTATATGTTGCTTGCAAAATTTTCTTTATACGAAATGCAATGTTATTGGCAATGTTGTTGCAACGGCGTATGTATGGAAGACGCGAAAACGTATTTGTCCAAAACGACGACACTGTTTCTGGCATTGCTTGTACATATACCAAACAAGTATATAGTTTGTTCTTGCTTTTATTTCGTCGTGTATAAGCCTTGGAAGACACTAAAAATCACTTTCGAAACACTTCACTGACAACTAAGAAACGTCACGAAGTCATAAGTACCTGATCGGATCATTGAAGCGTATTCCAAAATTGTCGGCGAATTATCGATCGCATAATGTTACTTCTGGCTTGTGTACTTTCTCGACAATGGCACTAAAACGACACAAAAAAAGATCTTTCGAATTGAGAATTCACGATTTTGAAGTAACCGAGGCAATCTCACTAACGAGACTTATTTTAAAATACAACATTAATTGTATTCTAGTAAATGAAAAGTAGTCCACCCGAAACTTCATTGCACGACATCCGAAATCCAACCGTACGGTTAATCAGTTTTACTATGAAAACATTTCACTTAACTTCACTATTGTTCAATCAATATTATTCTTAGTTAATCATATCGGGGGGAAAAGTTAAGAAAAACTGACGTAAACCTGTACCGACAGTTTTCTCGCGACACAATAAACGATTGCTTTTGCGCAGAGAAACGGCGGACCAGCCGTTTAGCCTCCGAAAATGTCGTCTGGCTTCAGGAGCGTAACTATGTGTCAAGACATCTTTTTCACAACTACCTTTTTTTTACATATTTAAAATAGTCTTTATTGTAACGATTTGAAACGAATCATCTAAAATAAATTGTTATTATTTTGGAAAATGATATATCACACTGTTCAAATTTATTTGAATGCTTGTAATTTAATTATAACAAAGAAAATTTAAGAAAAAAATATATTTCTCGCCTTAAATGTTATATAGTTAAATAAGAAATGTATTTTAGAAAAATTGTGTTCTTTTTTATTTATAATGTCATATATAGTAAATAAGTACGGGTGAAAACATTAATAGGTACAACACCATTGCTTGTGTGACTGCTATATGTGCGTCATCAAGGATCGATATATCTCGAATCTCGAACCGATACGACTGTCGATTCTACTAATTCATTGACGTTATAACTCCTTATAGTCCATTCTACAGTAATACAGATTAAACACAGACGGTATGTATAAGTGTGGTTAATTGTAAAATTTACAATTTAAACGTAAAAAACGTTTTATTTAACATAAACGGGCGTGGATAACAGATAAATTTTTACATTCAGTTACAGATAACGAGTTCCATTGCTAGTGGAATAATCAGAAGCGGCAAAATGACGGAATCTGAGAATATTTTCTTGTTTGTGCCCAACATTATTGGTAAATAAAATTTAATTCTAATATTCTTATGACAATTTGAATTTATTTTATGTTATTTTATACACAAAAATATTGTGTATTTTTTAAAACCAATATATGTAATATATTAAAATTTAAAAATAATATATGTATGATAAGTAAAATACTATCTTAAAAATATTTATCTTGTATGATTTTCTTTTATTGCAACACATATTTTATAATCTTAAATTTGTTGTATTAATGAACAGATTGATGCTATAACACATATTTACATGAATTTATTATTTCTGATACATAAATGGTTTTTATGATCAAATATTATTTTTCTTTTTATATTTTAAATGTTAAAAAATATAAAGTTCATCATTAGCTATAGAGAATATAATACAAAAAGACTAAAAGCATTGCACTTTTAAGACTTCCTATGATCTATAGTGATTCAAAGATTGGTTTTATGTAACTATTCACTATATTTGAAATAAAAATAAAAGTTATTCAGTTGATAAGATAAGGAAATATGTTGTAAATATATTGAACACTATTAAAACTATAATAAATTACAAAAGATATAAAAATGATAATAATAATAATAAATAATGTATGTATGTATGTATATATTAACAGGCTATGGCAGAGTGATTTTGGCTATTATATCTTTTTATTTTATGACAACTAACCATGTTATTGCATCATGGTGTTACATTATTAGTGCACTATTGGATGCAGTGGATGGTCATGCAGCAAGATATTTTAACCAAAGTACCAAATTTGGTGGTATGTTAGATCAATTGACTGATCGTGTTGGTACCATGTGTCTTTTAGCTACATTGTGTATGTTTTATCCATCATATTCATTCTGGTTTCAATTAAGCATGGCCATTGACATTAGTTGCCATTGGATATACTTGCACACGTAAGAACAAACTTTATTCAAATATATTTAATACTGTCACCATACAAAAATATAAGAAAACATATTATAGATCACTTTTACAAGGGAAAACAAGTCACAAATTTATTGATATGTCTGAAAATTCAATTATGAGAATGTATTATACTAATCGTACAGTCTTATTTATTATGTGTGCTGGTAATGAAGCCTTTTATGCTGCATTATATCTCCTTTACTTTACGCAAGGACCTACTTGTAAGTTGTTATTTCTTATATGTATATTAATATTAGATGTGATGATGAATATTGTAAAATATATATATATCTATGTATATTCTTATTTCAGTTCTTGGTATAAGTTTATTTAGGTTGGTAATGTATCTTTCTGCACCTATAGCATTTATCAAAGCTGGTATTTCATTGTTACATGGATATGTATCCTGCATTAATTTAAGCATTATTGATCTCAAGGAAAGACAAGAGCGTTTAAAAGTAAATTAAGTTTATTAAATATTTAATCAAAATAAATGTGATTGAATGATCTTCCTAAATTATATATATAATTATATTTATGTCAGTTGATCTAATTGAATGTATCACAATTGAAGTTAAAAACCAACATAAAGTAGATATATGTTGCTAGTCATTATTGAATTTCTATTTTAATAATAACAAGCATATTATAAATATTATATGTTATATTCCAAAATAGTTAAAAGTCTAAGATATTTAAACAAATATCAGTAGATTATAATAGATCTCATATTTTTCTATTTCATAAATATTATATTTTCGTGTGAAGAATTCAATGATTAAATATTTTGTGTATAAAATTCAATGATTTTTTTGATAAGTTTTTTTTAGAATAGCATTATCTAGAAGATGTATAAATATACTAAATATTAATTTTTAAATATTTTAATGTAATCTATTAAAAATATATTTAATATCTTATAATTTTATATATATTATATATTGTAGTTTTTATTAGATTTTTCCTGTACTTCATAGTTTATTAAGCATATGTGTCTGTAATGTATAAATGAAGCAAAAAATGTATATAATTCAAAGAAAATATTTAATAAATATTTTTGTCTCTTATGTAATATTAACATTATCTTTATTGTACCATAATCATTAATACAAAATATTATAAGCACATCATATCAATATTATATATGAATAAAGGATATAGCACAAATCATATCACTTTAATATACATTAAAATTAATTATTAGATATTTATAATTACATATATAAACGTATTTTTTTATCATATGTGTTAATTTATCTGTTGTTACAAAGATTTTTATTTATTGTAAAAATTTACCAAGTTTCCGTAAAAAAGTAAATGATTATTCATCACATTAAAAAATTTATATAAAAGCGATACTTAAAGGTCAAATAAAAAGTAATATAGAAATGTCTAAAATATTACATCAATTTATGTAATCTACTACATCTACGGAAAAATTTATAAAAAAAATAAATCAATACAATATCAATAATGTAAATATCATTTGTTCAATGCGATATTTATAACGTAGCTATTATTACTATCAATACGTTCTGCTAAATCATTATAAAAACAACAGATAAATTATACAATGTGACACGTGTTTTCTTCAATAATAACAAAATTCTAGAAAATATCTGCAATATATGTCTCTATTATGATGTCCAATAAGTTAATGCGACTAATTGTACTACAAATTTACGATATACGACGTTACTTAAATGACAAAATGATCAACTAACCTCAAAAATTTCGTTCTCATTCCCCCATCATGACCAGTCATGTTTCGGCGCCATGTTAACACTTCAAACATTCGCGCATGTTGGAAAGTTGAGAAAATTTGTGCGAATTTCTTCTTGTCGTTAAATACTCTGAAATGAAACTTTCACCAACTACGCTTGATAATATGAACAAAAACGTCTCACTTGGACGATGTTTATAGTTTGCACTGCATTGAAATACACGAAACAAAGTACAATATTTATAAAAACAGATGAGAATTCTTCACCGGCTTACTATGGATGATTCGCGACACGACAGCGCCAATGTCGTCAGCTGCCTATAAAATGGCGGGTTTTTACCCGCTTTTGAATTTGCGGCTAACCATCATATCCTGTTCAAGTTAATTTTAAATATCCTATATAAAAGTATAGATTACACTTCAGATTATATGATATATAATAATGAACGACGATTGTGATTTTCACACTTCAATTTATATCTCTCGTAAGAGCTAATACTAGTTGCGAATATTTTGAAAATGATAGATTCTGAAAACGAGTATATTTTTAATATGTAAATTAATATTTTTGATTATGTTTTAAAATATTTTTAAAATATTTTAATATGCAAATTAATATTTAAGATTATGTGTTAAAGATTATATTTTTGTTCAAATGTAATGTCTTCATAATGTATTGCGTAAATCAATACAATAAATTTTTGAAGGAATAAAATGTTGAAATATAAATGCTATATTTTTTTTATGTTTATTTTTCGATTTCTAATTTTTATAATATTGAACAGTTATTGTTATTATTATCACATAGTCTCAAATTTCAGTATAAAAATATTATGACTACAATATTGTTGTATATTGATACATAGCAAAACAGTTCTGTATAAAATATGCAAATGTTATGTTCGTTGCACACTTCAGTTACTAATCTTAACATTATCATACAGTATGAAATGAAAAATTTATATTATTTTTAAATTTATAATATTATAATATTAATTTATAATACAAAAAAAGATACAAGAAAACACACAAACAAAACACAATTAGACCAAAGTTAAGGAATGATTAAATAGTTAGCAATAATTTATATCTCACGTAATACAGTTATGAAATTTTCTGCAAAATTTAGATCTACTCTTGAAGGATATAGTAATTTCATATTACCTTCCATATCTACTATTTTTACTTGCTCTACATGTAATTTATTAGAAGTCGAAGCATTTTCTTGTTCTGACAGACATCCCAAACCAAGAGTAATTATTTCCTTTAAGAATTGGTCTAATACATTTCTAACAACAAAAAGAAAATGATGTTTTAACGTAATTAAGTAATATTTATATTTTGTATTAACTCTAAGCTAATTAAGATGAAAAGCAAACATTAATTGTTATTAATAAATTATTAATAAATTATAATGTTACCTGCAAATCTGATATGACGCAGCACTAGTTACTTCTATTAGCATTGCTTGAGTATTCATTGACATTTTTGTAATATCACTGTTTGTTATTGGTGGAAATGATATAACTTGTCCTGAAGCATCTAATAAACAAGGAAACATAGGTTTACCCTCTAACAAATAAAGATACTTGTGAATACCAGAATATACATTGCGTTTCTTTTCTTTTCTTAAATTATCAGCTTCAGTTTGCAATTGTTGAAACAATGCAGAACCAGTATAAACTTTATTACGCATTAACGGTTTTATTTCTAATTCATTTGGTAATTTTGCTGTGTATGTTAAGTCTCCTAAACATTAAACATGATATTATCAAAATGTAGTTTTATATATACAAAATTGTTTTTCTGTTATATTTACCAGGAGTAATTAATTTTAAATCATGTGTAGCAATAGTAGCTGCATTTCTTTTTTCACATATACCATCGTGTAATTTAGTTTGAAGTTGAATAAATTTTTTGAAAGTATCCTCTGTAAAGCTCATATTTCTAACAATACAAGCTGCAATATATGATCTAATATTTTTTACATATTTTGTAATTTTAATTACTGGTGTGTCATTTGTTACTTTTAATACTTTCAACTTGTGTGTCAAATGATCCATTATATTAGCATTATTTTCACTCTCTGATAATTTTTGTACTTTCTTTCCTTTTTTTGATTTGCTATTGATAGAGCCATCTTGTTTACGACAATGTAACTTGATATACTCTAACACTTGTTTACTATGGCACTGGTCCACTAACTTTGATAATCTTTTGTCTGTTAATGTGTTTTCCTTTAAATGAAGTTCTTTGAGTTTGTTACAATCAGCTATCTCACCTGGGATGACTGTGGTGATAAAATAATAATTAAATCAATATTCTACGTATAAGATTTTTCTCTTACTCAAAAAAAGATTACCTGAAATCAAATTGCTTGCAACATTTACTATTTTCAAGGATGGAAGCTGATTTATAGTCACAGGAATTTCTTTTATTAGATTTCCATTAACATAGATTTCAGTGAGATGAGTTAATTCTGGATAACATACGTCAGGAAAGATTTCAAACTGGTTGTTCGAAAGATCCAAAACAGTCAATTTAACATTCTTAATTTGCGTCGGTAAGGATGTCAGAAGATTCGAACTCAAATTCATAGTTGTCAATTGTGGAAGTTTACCGATTTCATTCGGTAAAAACGTTAATATGTTTCTAGAGCAATCGAGGATCTTTAATTTTTCCAATTTTTCGATTGTGCCAGGTATTTTTGAAATTTCGTTCGAATGTAACACCAGTGTCGTCAAATTTTGTAATTGTCCTATTTCTTCTGGTATTTCTTGCAAACATGTCTGTGTAATATTCAAGTAATTTAAATGCTGCAGGTTAAACAATGACTTATCAAAGCCTCTTTTTTGAATCAATTCAGAAATTGGTGGGCCAGACAATACTAATTCGTGTTTATTCTCTGCAGCAGCAGTTTTGATCACATGCCACGAATTATCGAGCGTCATTATTAATAAGCATCAGTCGAATTTCTACAAGTAAATGATTACTATCACTTGTATCGTTTTAAGGTTACTTGCCGGGTTATTCAGTTTGAAAGCGTGCATTTGATTAGAACGACATCTATAGACGTACGTACGCGATTTAAAAGTGCATAGTAAAAAGTGCAAAAAATATGATGTGATAATATATGTAAATAGATTTAATCATTGACTAACTAGGATAGACCGGACAACCAATGTTTTTTTGTATGACATAAACCATTCTTTAATAATATATCTAATAACATATGAATATACTTCGTCTGTGATACGACAATCAATGGTACATCAGATATTTTCTTAATCTACTGTAAATAATAATAGTGTCATTTATCCACAGACGAGGTATATGAATAGACCAAGCATCCAATGTATTTTTTTGGCCACGATTTCGGCCACGTATCCGATGCCCCGTTACCATTTCCGTGTCACATCCTGTCGTATCGATTCAGCAAGTTTTGCACTGTGGAAATTAAAAAATATGGACGGTGTTGCCAGATTTATTTCGAGAATTATTCATTGAATCGAACGTGGTGGTACTTCATCAATAAAGGAATGTAACGATTTAAAAACAAAGATTGATGAAAATCAATAATGAAGAATTTAGTGTATATTTGACTATTAACATCTATTCAAAAGTATTAAAAAAAATTGATTGAAATATGATATTTTTATGAACAATATAATTAGATATGACGTTTTTCAATTTACAAATTTATAAATTCACGTCCTGAATGAATTATCTTTATTCCATAAACTCGATTTTATGAAAGTTTAAACTTATTAATAAAATATTTCTACAAATATTGTTTACAATAAAGAAGCACATTATGTGTTGTAAATTATTTCTTGCAGAATTCATCCATTTCAAAATTTTGAAGTCTAATTTATTTTTTTTAAACGATATCATACATATTTTCTTTTTTACAGTACGATGTTATTTATTAAGACGAACTCACTGAGTTGCATTTTCGACGGCCGAAATCATTTATTGTTATAAATTATTAATAAAAATGATATGAAGTATGAGTGACTTAACGATATATATTAGTATTAAGATTTTATGAGTTTGAAACATTGCTCATTCGTATTTTCCACCATTCTGATTGCCGATGAACTTGCAGATTAACCACTTTTTCATTGATTTCAACAATCCTTAAATATCACACGAACTTTCATTTAAACATTCGAAGTGAATTTTTAAATATTATTTCTGAATATTCTAATTGTTTAAACATTATCTAATATTTCTAATAATTTACTTGCAACAATTAAACAATAAATTCTCTTCCGTAATGTTTCTAAGTGTTTCGTATCGTAGAAAAGAAAATCATAGAGATGTATGATCTAAAAACAATGCTTTTGTGGGCTTCTTAAACAATGTCTTATTACTAAATTTGCATTTATTTATCACGATTATTGTATGTACATACATATGTATGTTTGCTCGCCTCTGGATTCAGTGTCACTGGATTCAATTCAATAAATAATTTTCGATGAAGAAACGGCAACACTGTCCATATATTTTGATCTTAAGGAGGATTTTAATTATATTTTGAAAAAGGAGGTCATATGATCCCTCAAAACCTGGAATCGTAAAAAAGCATCGGATGTCCTATTAGTCAATGATCTAATATTTTATATTATTTTAAAAATTAAATCTTCGGGAAAAATTTTAGAGAGAAACGGAATTATCATATGATTAGCTTATTCTAAAAAAAATATTTTTTAAAAAATTAAAAAGATTCAATTTTTATCCTTAACACATTAAAGATCAACTTATTCAATAAGTTCTTTTCATTGACTCACAGAAACTTTATTTCATCGCTTCTTCCTTCAGTAATCGTTTTCGAATTTTGAAATTGTCGATCTATATGTAAATGCTACTAATAAATGCGACTTATCGTATGGAAATTTAGGATTGCAACTATCTTGTAAGTAAAATAGGGAAGAGGCTATCGCGTAGGAATTTATCTTACGACACCATTTGAACAAATACGTTCGTATATATTGAACCGGTTTTAAATGTTTTTCACTTTGATACAGTTCTCCTTATCATAGGCGAACAATAACCTGACTTAGAACTGGGAGACTAATTATTTAAATTTTTATCAAAAACGTAGCAAACGTTTGTACATGACAAGAAGGAACGAGAGAACATCGTTTTACGAAATAATATTCATGAAGATTTTGACCGTTCTGGAAAAAAGATAAATATTTTATTCACACTTATGATTCATTGACACGTTTAAGATGCCTTTAACAGATATAGCGATTTCGATGAAAAAGAATTAACAGACACGACTACATGATTACATGTGACGATGACGTTGACATAATGTTCCTAGCAAAAGAAAAAAGGAATATCGTAATACTAATAATGGCGTAGCGTGGTATATATGAAGAGAGATGTTATATTATTGACCTTCGAAGTTCATAGTCATCGTTGCGGAGTAACTGGCAAGGTCCATAGGAAATATCAAGTAGCAATGATAGGATCTGTCTAGGAACATTTACATTTGAAAAAAATGCGAAGGAGCATGTTAATTTCGGTGTGAAAGACCGTTTAGAACAGCATGTAAATAATATCTTACTACTTCGAGTGACAATGCCAACCAGAATTCAGCCACGGCTTTTCTTCCGCATTTGCAAATAAGCATTTCTGATCTTTTATATTCCCAGTGGATTGAATCGCTCATGTCATTTAGAGAGAGAAGTTAATTGGTGTATAGTTTATTTTAATAAAATGATTTAAATCATTAAACTATATTTTTTATTAATTTCTTAATTTCATCATATAAGCGTAAGATTAATATTTAGTTTAATTATTCATCTTAATAAAAGAGAAAGAAATAATGATAACTTCAAGATAAATTTATAAAGTGGTATATATAATTTTTTTGTGCTTTTAATTGATCAATGTGGTTTATTGTATAAATTGGAATAGACATAATTTTTTTTTTTTTTTTTTAACGACAACAAACGACTTTGTTTTATAGTTCGAATTTATATACTTCTTTTATATTTCGTATTTGGATGAATTTCAAATTTGATTATTTTAATTTAGAAGAGTCAATCGAATTGAAAAGTTACGTGACAATTATATATTTCAACACATACTTTAACAATTATAAAATTACCTTCTCTATATTATAAATTACAGTAAAATATAATAATCTAAATTATAATAAAACAAAGTAGCTAAACTGATTTATTAGTACTTTTTATTTTCATTTCAAATTAAATTCATCCCAGCTTGTTTTAAACTTATTCACTCTTATCGCGAGTTTCGTAACAATCTTTGTAAACAACTCAACTAATTTTAACCACCCAATGACTATGATATTTATACGATCGATTGTTGATCGGTTCATGAGTCGCTAAATATTATTTATTATTTCATTAGTATTGACGATATCACTCCTATTACTTTCCTATAGGATCATCAGCCTATACATAAAGTAGCATACGTACGATGTTCAACGCGTTCGTAGTGGAAGCCTTCGAGGAACCGGGCCAGCAAATCTCGACTTCCTGTTACCCAAAGTCCACGGTTATCAGCAAACGTCCCCGATCGCTTCCGTATCGAGCGGAAGCATCGAGCAGATCCACGGGTGGGGTTCCTCAGGTGCGTATAAAGTGACGAAGAACCGGCCGATTTTCGTCATGTGGAATCGATTCGAACAGCAACGAGGATCTATCCAAGTGTGTGTCTTTTCCCCATAGGGAAACTCACCTGTCGAAATGAAACGTTGCTCCATCGTTTGTCCTTTCACGTTTGTTTTACTGACTTCCGTCTCAGCTTGGCCGTTTTGGCGTCGAGACGTTCTAGACAATGCGGTTGACAGTCCTGACGGAGTGATCGCTCATCTACAACACTTTGGCGAGATGCTGTATCGCAATCCGGACAATGAAACCGGTGCCGTCGTGGCGAACTGGCACGAGGGCTGGGACCGCAACCCGGAAGAATTGGGCAACTACGCGGAGGGTGATATCCTGTTTCCGCCTCAACTCGAGAAGAATGGCTTGAAAGCGGAAGCTGCGCGATGGCCCGGCGGTGTGGTACCATACATGATCAGTCCTTATTTCAGTAAGTTCTACTGTACATTTGTTTGTCCCTTGATTTATGTTAGCAACAAAAAATGACAGGATAGTCTATGGAATGGAAACGTTTCGTCAGATTTCTCGTTAATACGATATGAGATGAATTTTGTGAGAAAAGAACAATTCTTCGATTATTGTGTCTACAGTACACATTACGAAATGCAATATCCTTCCGAATCAGTTTTCATCCATCCAGTAATGTAGTATAACAATTTGTAATATTTTTACTGCAGCAACTCCGTCAAACGGAGTGTTTGAGAAAGTGAGGAAAGTGATAATAATAACATCTCGATGATTAAATTTAATTATATAATAGATACGGAGCAGAAGAACTTGATTTACGAAGCCATGAACGATTACCACAAGTACACGTGCGTTAAGTTCAAACCGTATACCGGCGAAGAGAATGATTACATCAGAATCACGGCTGGTAATAGCGGTTGTTGGAGCAGCGTGGGAAGAGTCGGTGGCCGACAAGATGTGAATTTTCAGGTCCCAGGGTGTTTAGTGAAGAAAGGTACGGTGATACACGAATTGATGCACGCCATTGGATTTCTGCACGAGCAAAGCAGATTTGAACGAGACGAGTACGTCACGATCCAGTGGTATAACATTTTGAACAGTAAGTGACCTGTGGTTGGGACAGAGAAACTTCAAATTACAGTCATGATCGATATATTTCGAATAGATCGTGTATTTTCTAGCTTTTACTAGCTTTTATTCAAGAATCATAGAATTATATTGAATAAATAATTTGTATTATTTCGTCACAGGGATATTAAGATTTAGAACAAGTTTTAATTTATAAAAATGTTTCTAAATATGATCCAATTGATTGAAATTTTTAATTTATTTAAATCTTATACTTCTTCATTTTAACCTTCTTTTAAATATCAGTTTAAATTATTTCACCAGTTTAAGTAATAATAATTTAAACAGCATATCTCGAATATTGTTTACCAATTTTTTTCTTTGAACTCATTGATAAAGTATATAGATAAGTAATAAGTAACGTGTCATTATCTATATAGACCATGTTGGAAATTTTGAGAAGGCTTCGAAGCAAACCACCGACGCGTTCGGGGTCGGATACGATTATGGCAGCGTAATGCATTATTCCGCAAACGCGTTTTCCAAGAACGGACGTCCCACCATAGTTCCAAAAGTGAGTAAATATAATAAAGACGAAGTCATCAAGGCCCATAACTTTCTAACTTTAAATGATTCTATGAATTTTGGAAATCGTTTACTAACATCTTGATTCATTTCGATGTCACATTACACATGATTGTTTGCGATTTTTACCAAGGTGATAACCTGTTCTAGAGATCTTGTTAATCTGTTCTTGACATTTACGAGTTTGTAAACCTCTTGAAAAAACAGATACACGATGGGAATTTCATTAATTAAACTGGCAGATCTTAATAGATCTGAAGTGAAATCGATAATTTGATGATAAATTATTTCCACTATGACAGTCTTTTTTTTTTTACTCTGAATTCTTTAGTTTCCTATTCTTCATCGTAACATTACACGTTCTTGTAATTTGTGATAATACACCTGGTCATTCAGTCTTCTTGCTTTCCTCACTAGTTACGTTCTTCATTGAACAAGACAATTGCTTTCGGTGTAATCGTGGAAAAAATAATAACCTCATGAAATTCATGTTCACGCCCACGACTATGCATATCCCGCGGATGTCCGCAGGAATCCGGCGGCCTTCTAAGTTTTATTGGCGAAATATTCCAGGGTGCGACGAAGGTTCAACTGGGTCAGAGAGATGGATTCAGCAAGAGGGATATACAGAAGATCCGAAAAATGTACAAATGCAACAAACGCAGACGGAGCAGCTATTGATTGGCACAAGTGTGGTCGAACAAGCCTTGAAGCTTTCTCGCGGTTTTTTTTTTTTTTATTGAACCGTAGCGTAAAGAGAATCTAGTCCTTTACAATTAAGTATACATTTCGTTGCTTTCAAACGACGACTCAGCTTCGGTTTAACCAAGGTTGATAAAAAGCAAATCGATATCGACGACGAAGCATTGTGCATTCGGAGAAGAGCTTTTTTTATCTATACGTGTTGTGTGTACATATAAGAAAACATATTTAAATAAATGTTGCCTGCGTTTGATTTGCAACATTGTAATTGAACGTATGATAAATAAATAAATGTTTTAAATATTCGTCTTTTTCTTGATTATCGCAACTATGTGCAAGTTAGATTTTGAAATAATAAAGTAATTGTAAAATATACTGCTTTCGAATTATATTAAATATTTTTTAATTATTCTGAATAATTTTTTAAACTT